TATCTACCCTAGACAGAAAGAAAAAGCAAGAAACACGCTTAAAATGTTACATAAGCTCCACCATTTCCCACACCGAACGTCAAATACATTCCTCGCATAGGCAGACCTGGTCAACCTCGCGTCCATCGTAGCCAGCGAAGAATTCATTCATAAAATACCATAAGCCAGCGAGCTCGCTCCTCTGGCAACCGCGTGAGCTCCGTCCATTCATGAAGGTGTTGGTCGCTCCCTCCCTCCCTCCCCCGCCCTTCGCTGGTCGCCGCCGGGAGAGCTTCTGCGCGGGAAAGCGTGGGTGGCTTGAGTGTATAAGACTCTTGCGGGCGGGGCGCCACGACATCAGGTCATCGGCGTCTCTTGTCTTCCTTCGCCACCGCCTTGTCCTCCTCGCGACCGCCTGGTACTCGCACGCCCCTTCCAGGCTTGCCAATCTCGGGGTTCAGAAAAGACAGAGTACCAACTGTGAAACTCAGGGCGGCTGACCTTACGCTCCCGCACTCAGTGGTTGCTAGCTTTTCATCAGTGACTTTTCCAAGATTTATTTTCGTTGACGTTCGCTAGCTCTGCCGCAGTGATACTTGTGCAAGAAACTCCCAGCTTGAGGCTTGGTGACCACGAGTCAGTGATACCAACAAGAAACGTTCGAAGCCTACTAGCCACAGACCACAAATCACTGAAAGAAATTTTGCATTTTGCGGTTGGCTATACCTACTAGACCTCTCATGACGGCCAATCTCGCGTCAGTCATGCATGTCAAGACAGCATTCCTGACCTGCCAGCCTCATGCATCGTAGTCACAATCAAAGGCTAGCAATATTTATTTTCGTTCTCGATAGTGTACAACATTGCAATCCACAATCTTTATTGCATTTGCATGAATTCGATTTGAGAGGAGCTGCTACTGAATGTCAGTTTGACTCCGAGCCGCACAGTGCAGAAGCCGCAGACACTGATTCACTGACTGAGATTTGATATCTGACCTTCTCTTTCCATTCCCTCCTCCTGCTTCTCTTGCTCATTGTCCATTCCTTGAGCTCCACCTCTTCCTCCTTTTCCTCTTCTTATTTTTGTCTTATTCATCTCCTTCATCTTCCTTCTCATCCTCCTTCTTCTTCTTCTCTTTTTCCTCTTTCTACTTTTCTTCTTCCTCCTTCTCTTCTTCTCCTTCTTCTTCTTCTTCTTCTTCTTCTTCTTCTTCTTCTTCTTCTTCTCCTCCTTCTCTTTCTCTTTCTCTTACTCTTTCTCCTTCTCCTTCTCCTTCTCCTTTTCCTTCTCCTTCTCCTTCTTTTCCTTCTCCTTCTCCTCCTTCTCCTCCTTCTCCTTCTCCTCCTTTTCCTCCTCCTCGTCTTACTCTTCCCTGGCCGACCAGCCCATCTGTCTTCATTGAGTGGACGACCTGTTGCGCCACACCACGTGAGACGACCCCACACTGCTCCTCGAGGAAAGTCTGCTGGTACGACGTTTTCATCAGCCTCCCTCCCTCCCTCGTCCGCTTCCTCACCTGCTCGCCTGCCCACCCAACCCACCCGCACGCCCGCCCGCACGCCCGCACGCCCCTGGAACCACGAGACTCCTTAACGAGACGCGTCAGCAGGTCACGTCTACGTTATAGAGCTTCAGTGTCTACCCCCCGACACCACACCCACCTCCGTACCCACATCAGTGCCACACGCCTCCTTGGCACCACCCACATACCCACATCTGAGCCCTTAGTGGCTGTCTCGCCCTCGACGTGCCTGGCACCCCCTTCCCAGTGCCTTGGAGTTAGTGCCACAATCCTGACCTCCGTTCTTACCTCTTCGCCGACGAGGACATAGGTTTCAGTGCGTGTTGGGAGAAGTTTCTTGTGGATTACAGGCGACGCCGTGAAAGTGTGCGACTCGAACTCCTAGCTCTGGAAGGTTCACGATATCTGTCACTTTTTTTTGTAAGTTTATATCTGTATTTGTTATTATTATCATCTTTATTTATCGATCAAGATGATTCGCCTTATGTTTTTTTTTTTTTTTTTTTTTTTTTTTTTTTTTTTTTTTTTTTTATACCTGAGTTCTTCGCGAGATGAATTATAAGAAACAAGTTTGTGCGTGGTATGCCTGGATCTTCGTTTTCTCTTGTGGAAGAAAATGCCAGGTAGGAGAACTGACTTTGAATGTCGCGGCCGTTAAGCTCTTTCTTGTTGTACAGGATACGAGCTTGGAAAAAATATTATCCATAATTTTGGAAACCTATTTTTTTTTCCATTAGTTTACGTCAAAATATGTGCTCGATATATATTGCCTATAGACAGTGACTTAACGCCAACTCGATTCCATAAGTATTTTTTGCAAAAGACTGAACGCCAACTCGATTCCATAAGTATTTTTTGCAAAAGACTGAACGCCAACTCGATTCCATAAGTATTTTTTGCAAAAGACTGATACCCGTGATCGATGCAACAAGTTTAAGGAGAGATCTGTAGAATGCATTGTTCGGTGAAGATTACGTCAGACACGAAATAGGATAT